CCAACCACAACCCATACTCCCAAACATACAACCCTGGTTGGAGAAATCATCCAAATTTCAGTTGGAAGAGTAATAACAATGCATAAACTTCACAACCACCATTTCAAGCACACCATTATTTTCAAAATTCTCATGGATATCCCCTCTTTATGCTCCACTTCCTAGAAGAAATTTTGAGGAAACTTTGCATGCATTCATTCAAAAGCAAGAGACAATCAATACTCAACTTGCTCAAAGTATGATAGATTTTAAAGATACTCTTGCAAAATTAATAATAACTCTAAGTACTACATGTAGGAAAAGTTAATCACAACTCTAAAATCTTTAAAACTTTTAAACATGTAAGGGTCAATATACATTTGCTGGATGCTATTAAATAAGTTTCTTCTTATACTAAATTTTTGAAAGATCTGTGCACTGTGAAGAGAAAAATGAATGTGAAAAAGAAAGCCTTTTTAGCCGAACAAGTAACTACCATTCTTCAAAACAATAATGCTTTGAAATATAAAGGCCCTGGTTGTCCTACAATTTCTTACTTTATTAGAGAGCATAAAATTGAAATAGCCTTACTTGATCTTGGAGCTAGTGTGAATTTACTTCCTTATTTAGTTTTTCAAAGACTCAATCTAGGTGAGTTAAAACCAACTTCTATAACTCTCTTACTTGTTGATAGATCTGTAAAAGTGCCTAGAGAAATAGTTGAAGATGTGTTAGTACAAGTCGATAAATTCATTTCTCTTGTGAATTTTATTGTCTTGGACGCATAACCTATTGAAACATTTAATTCATTTTCTGTTATTTTAAGATGTCCGTTTCTTGCAACTTCTAATAAATTGATTAATTGTAGGAATGGACTGATGAAGCTATCATTTGGAAACATGACATTGGAGATGAATATTTTCAACATTTGCAAGCAACCTGGAGATGATAATGATTTACAAGAAGTAGATCATATTGATGAATTAGTTTATGATCAACTTGAATCTACTTTAAGTAAAAATGAGTTGGATGAATTTGAAGATTTGCAAATGTCTTATTCTCAAGAAGAAATTACGGATGAAAAAGGTTCTAAAAATGTTGACACAGATCTTTTGTTAAGAGTGACAACAGATTCGACATCCGACATCATATCTATTGATGATTACTTTCCTAAGGAATCCTTACTTTCTCTTAGTCTAATGCCTTGGTATGATAAAAATATCAAATTTTCTTGTTTAAAGATTTTTGCCAGCTCACTCGAGTCCCGAAGGCAAAAGAGAGATTTTAAGCGACATGCAAAACTTTTATTAGGATGACCCTTATTCAAATATTGTCCTAATCAAATATTTCAAAGATGCATTCCCAACAATGAGGTAAGTAGTGTCATTAAACTGTCATTCTGAAGCATGTGGGAGTTATTTCTCATCAAAAAAGACAGCTGCAAAAATCTTTCATAATGGATTTTATTGGCCCACCATGTTCAAGGACTCACATGCATTCTGCAACGCTTGTGAAAATTGTCAAAAGTCATGATTTATTTCAAATATAAGGAATCTTTAGATAATCTTTTATTGAATTTTGAGACATATCCTGATGGAGAAGTGTATTGTGCATTTTATGATTTAT